GAGGGGCAGGGCCTGCTCCTGAGCCTGACACATCTGCGTCTCCCTCCCTCGACTCTTCTGGAAACCCAGCCCTGCCCTCCCCCAGCCTCACAGTCTTCCCAAATTGATGGGTCCCCGGAGAGGTTCCCTCACCCTGCACTAGAGCCGTCACAGACGTGGGGAGCCCACCCTTCGTGTTCTGGGAGGGAGGCCCCTGTTTTCTGGAAACACCCCTGACCCTGAGATTCCCCTTCCTGGGACGCTGTGCAAGCCCAGCCCGAGCCACAGAGGTTGTGAAATCCTGTTTTTGATTCTGGTGGAGAGGGTGGGCCTCGTGAGCACAGCGGCAGGCGGATAAGGGCCACGCTTGTGGCTGGAAACTGCTGTCCCTGGGGGACAGCGACGCCCCGCACAGCCCTTCATTCCCAGGGCTCCAGGCCTGCCTGGACGACTGCCCTCTGCTCAGTGAAGGAGGGCCCCGGAGCCCAGGCTGCCTGGGGTCCTGCAGCCGTGCTGGAGGGTGGCTGAGAGCCTGGGGTCCCGACACCCAGCCCTTCCCCTTTCCCCCCGTCCTTAATTCCTGCTGCGGGAGCCAAACCTCCCCCCGCCACGGGGATCTGTGGAGCCTGGAGAGCGTGGCCAGGTGGGGTGGAGGTCTGTGGGGCAGGGGCCACCAGGCATGCTGCTGACCAGGGCTCCTTCAAGGTGGGGCTCCAGGCTGCAGGGACCCCTGGGGCTTGGCCCTGGTATTTGTACTCTGCGCTTCGTGACAAATTATCACAAACTTAGCAGCTGAAAACAACACCCATGTTTTGTCTTACGGTTTCTGTGTGTCAGCAGACGGGCAGGTTCTCTGCTCAGGGTCCCAGCAGACGTTAATCACAGTGTCAGGGGGCTGCGATTTCATCTGAGAATCAGGGACTCACTTCCTTGAGGTTGCAAGACTGAGGTCCCCGTGTTCTTGAGGGTTGCCGGCCGGGGACCACTCAGCTCCTAGAGGTGCCCTCAGCTCCTTGCCACGTGGCCCTTTCCACAGGAAGTTCACACCGTGGTTGTTTGCTTCTTCAAGGCCATGGGAGAATCTCTGCGCCTTCAAATCTCTCCCTGCAGGGAAGGCTGGGCCCTCTTGTAAAGGGCTCACCTGATTAGGTCAGGCCCGCCCAGGATAATCTCCCCTTTGAGTAACACAAAGTCAAATGATTAGAGACCTTAGTTACATCTGCAAAATCTCTCCACCCTTGTCACATAACATAACCTAATTATGAGAGTGATATCCTATTGTAGTCACAGTCTCACTCAAGGGGAGGGGATTACACAGGGCCATTTTAGAATTCTGCCTTTCATCAGGGTGAGAGCATGTCACCACTGTTTCCATTCGCATTTTCACATCAACCCTTGTGAGCTTCATAACCCTGTGGAAAACGCTGGGTGCTTCATACGCAGCTGCTAATCTTCTTAACAGCCTGGTGGGGACCGTCTCGTTACCCACTTTACAGATGGGAAGACCGAGGCTCACAGGGCAAGGCACATGGGCATGTGAAGGGCGCCTTCTGCTGGGTGCTCTCGGTCACTCAGGGTCCGAGAGGCAAAGCCTGGACGTGAACCTGTTTCCTGCCCCTGCCCTTGCACAGAGCCCACCCCACTGCTGGCAGACAGGCCCCACCTGCCACACTCCGTGACTGACAGCCCCCCCTCCCGACCAGGCGCTGGACGCCCCAGGAAGCGCAAGCTGACTGCTCCAAGCTCCCCCAAATGCAGCTGGGGTCACGGGTGGTGCAGACTGGGGTCCAAGGGGCACCTGACTGCCCCCAGCAGACTCTCAGGGACACCTAGACACACTGCTCTCTTCATAAGACCCTCCGCTGCCTGCTTGAACCCCTCTGCTGGCAAGGAGCTCCCGTCTCCCTGAGGCGGTCTCTCCCATCTCTAGAGAACCGTGCCCAGGAGAGAGTTCAGCTTCACGCCGAGGCGCACCCACCTCCTCGTAGCTCCTGCCTGTCGTTTGGAGGCGATGGGGCTGCAGTGGCTCTGCAGCGATGATGAGGATGACAATAGACACTGCGCATTCTTGGGATGGTCACTATCCCTCTCGGAGCCTCGGTTTCCTCATTCAAATCTGGGGCCAACCTGGACTTGGGTCAACATTTACGCTGCAGAGGAAGGAGAGCAGAGACAGCCGTGTCGGGCGGAGCTCAAGCACCCAGCAGTCAGGAGGTGGGGCTGTGTGACCCTGGGCAGGTTGCTTTCCTTCTCTGCTTGGGGAGGTGGGTGGGAGAGTCTCCAGGGACCCCCAGCAAGGAGTGTGATTTCATCTCCAGCCCCAGGAGCTTCTCCAGGAGGGGCCATTTGTCCCCCCCGGTCCCCGCACGGCTCAGCCCTACAACTGGCCTTCATGGAGCTTGCGCACAGTAGGTGCACAGTGACCCTGCGTGGGACTGATTGGACCCAGTGGAGACACCGGCACCTCCTTCTAAAGCCAGGGCGTGGGGCTTCTGGGCCGTGTACCCACTCAGTGCACAGGGCTGAGTGCCCACTGTGTGCCGGGCACACTCCCATCTCACACCCGCTCTGCTGAAAAAGGGTCTCGAGGGGCTGCTGCCCGGGGCCCTGGCCTCTGACAGGCAGGCAGGACTGGAGCTGTCAGACGGGGGCCCACGCCAGCCAGCCCCGGCCTCCACCTGCCCGGTCCTCGCCTCAGTTCTGCCCACTCTGTGCCAGGACAGTTCTTGCTTCATTCTCAGAACCCTGAGGTAGGGTTTGTCTTTAGTTACAGACGAAGAAGAGACTGAGGGTCTGAGAGGTTAAGCAACTTGACCAGAGTGACTCAACCTTTGGTTCAGTGTTTGTAGCCTGTGGTTGTTGGAGCTCTTCCCGTAGGAATCAGCACTGTTAATAGGAAACAGGCAACTTGTAGCCTGGACCTGGCGCCAAGTTGAGCCTGCTTCTCAAATCCTCACTTCAACCACAATATGGGGATTGTTAGCCTCATTTTAGTTGTGACCAAACTGGGGCTTGGAGAAATAAACTCTCACCCTGAATCCCACAGGCAGTAACGGGGCCGCTGGGAGCCTGTAAGTAGGGGGCTGGGACTTGAACCCAGGGGTTGGGTGATTGAGCCTCCCCTCTGGACCTCCAGGTCTGCTGCCTGAGTGATGGGGTCCCAGGAGGCCAGTGCCTCCCGTGGGGCCCGGGGCTGGGGGGGAACCCCAGGTGAGAGGGGCAGGGGAACGACAGGAAGTAGAGGGTCGGAGAAGGCACGGACTCCCAGGGCCCTGTTCTCCCAGGCAGGTGGTGGACTGAGAATGACCCGGCCCGCGGGTCCCACCCCGCGTGGGGTGGCTGCAGGCCCAGGCCTGGGGCGGGTGGATGACCTCAGAGATCTGTCCTCGGGGTTACTGTGACGGCCCCTCCTGCTGCGTCCAGCACGGGTCATCTGTCTTCGTATTTTCAATTACAGCGCTGCCTCCTCCGCTTTCCAGACCCAGCCCACGGAGCAGGCAGTTTGGGGTCAAGGTTAGAAGGCTTGTCAGCCCTTCTGCTGGGACCTGCTCCTTGCCGCCCAGGAGCCTCCAGTTCTGGGAAGCTCTCTGCTGCCCCCTGGTGGGAGAGGCCTGGGGAGTCCTGCAGGCCGCCCCTGAGCAGGGTGGGGGCTCAGGTTCCCTGTAGCCCAGGACCAGAGGAAAGATGGATGGATGGAGGCCCCCGCCCTCCTCCTCGGCCTTTCCGGGCTCTGCCGCCTCTCCTGGGCGCAGAAGCAAACCCAGGACCAAATCAGGGCTCTGCCCCACCTGCCAGTCCCTCTCCAGGCCACAGCTTCCTTCTGTTAAACGAGGGTCTTGGGGGGAATGCGAGGTGCCTGCCTCACGGGGACAGGGGATTTCTTGGGGAGATGAAATGCTTTGGGTCTAGACGGAGGCGGTGGTTGCACAACGTTGTGAATGCACAAAAATGCCACTGAACTGTGCGCTTTAAATGATTAGTTTTATGTTATGTGAATTTCACTTCATTAACAAAATAAATTAAAGAAGAGGAGAAGCTCGGACTAGTGCCGTGTGGGTGAGGACCACCCGGGATGCCCACGGCTTCTCTGCGCCTTGGCTTCTCTACCTGTAAATCAGGGAGAGGACCGATTCCCACCTTGGAGGGCCCGGGATTCGGGCCCTAGCTGGTTGCCAGGAGCGGGGTGGGGAGGGAGGGGGCAGGGCTGGGGCAGGCGGACCAGACAAGCTTTAAACACACTCGGCAGTGGACTCCACAAGGGGCTTCCTGAGGGCTGACCAGGGGCTGGGGGTGGGACCAGCCAGGCTGGGCCCAAGGACCCCCAGGTGGGGGGACACTTGAGCTACCTTCCCCTGTCTCTGTCGCTTTCTTGACACAGACAAGGGGTGGAGAGGGACAGGACAATGACGGGCTGGCACCTTCTTCCAGGACCCACCCTTGGGTGCTAATGGGGACACAGCCATCCAGGCAGGCTGGCAGGGTGGTGTGATGGTCACTGCACTGGGCCTTGGAACTCTGCCCCCACCTACCTGCTGTGTGACCCTGGGCAAGGCATCTAGCCTCTCTGTGTCTCTGTTTCTCCAGCCATAAACAGGGATGAAACAGTCCCAACCTCGCAGGGCGGTTTGAGGGTTGAAGGCAGAGCCCAGGGCTGGACACATAGGCTCGGGGACGGGAGCAGATGCCCAGGGAATTGCACGACCGACTCCCGCTGCCAGGCAAGAGACTGGGCGTTGAGGGGACTGACTTGCCCGAGGCCACACAGTGAGTGGCCGGCAGGGGGACCTGGCCTGGGTCTGCTGGGCTCACTGCCTTCCCGCTCATGCCTGAGGACGGGGTGTGGCAGCAGGGCGGGCCCCGGGGCCTGGACACAGGGCCTGGACACTCCCCAGGAGGCAGACCAGGGAAGGGGCCTTGCAGGCTCCAGGTTACTGCAAAGACATTTATTGCTATTTGACCCCTACTCTGTGCCTCCACTTCCAGAAAGTGAGCCACCTAGAGACACCGGGACAGACGGGAACCCACTCCCTGGACAGGGCCCTCAGGGCGGGTGGCCGGGGGCCAGCCAGGGCGCTCGCCCGCAGCCCCGCTCAGGGGCCAGGTTGATCCTGCGGATGTTGAGCTCAGTGGCGAAGGTCCTGGCCTTCTGGTAGAAGAAGAGGGACTTCTCGCGGTCGCGGAGGAAGTTGTGGTAGATGGTGGCCAGGCGCGAGTAGATCTTCATCTGCGCCTTCTTGTTGCCCAGGTCCACGGCCGCCGCCAGCGCCAGCTGGTAGTACCCGGCCGCGTCGAACGGGTCCTGGGGGGAGACAGGTGAGGGACTGGACCGGATGTTACCCCGACCCTGGAGGCAGGCGAGGTCTCACCGAGCCGTCTCCCCGCAGGCTGCTCCCCCCACCCCGCCCCTGCCCGTGGGCCCGGCTGCGCCCAGGGCCAGGGCCTCAGGCAGGCGGTGCGCTCCCCCGGGGTCCAGGCCTCCACGGAGCTGCCCGGGCCTCGGCTCCCGGCTCTCTCCCACCCCGGTGGCCTGAGAGCCGACACCGGCTCCCGTTCCCCTCGGACTCCGAGGTCTGCGTGGGCCTGGCCTGGCATTTCGGCGCCCCTCGGTCCCTCCTGTGCTCCGGACCTGATGCAGCCCCCCTCTGGAGCAGGGCCTGGCCCCTCGTCCCCTCCAGCGGCCCCACCTCCCGAAGCCTCTCCCCGCTCTGCCCGGGGCCCTCCTGGAGGACAGCAACAGCTTTCCCCAGGGCTGCTCGGAGAGCCCCCTGCAGGGTCCATTCCAGCCCGGGGGCGAGACTCCCTCCACCCCGAGTCCACACTGAAGCCAGCCTGTCCGGGCCCCTCCACGGGCCAGGCCCAGCACAAAGCTCTTCGCAGGTCTCGTCTCAGGATCCTCCCTGCAACTTTGACAGGCGCCACTCCCCGGACATCTGCTCCCATTTCAGACGCCTCTGCCTCACATTCAACCTTCCAGGTCGGGATGCTCCCCACTCCCAGCCCCCCTCCAGCCCCTCCCCAGGCCCCTCCCCTGACGCCAAGGTGACCCGAGGGACAGATGGAAAACCCGAACCTGCCCGCCCCTCCCCTGCTCCTGACGGCTCCCCAGCACAGAGGACAAAGTCCAAGTGCACCAGCCCTGGCTCTTCGCTGCGCCCAGGCGGGGCAATGACCCCGAAGAAAGTAAAAGCCGGCGAACACCCCCAGCCCCTACCAGGCGCTGACCCAGCGCGGGCGGGAGCCACGCTGATTCTGGGGCAGCACTGATCACAGGGACAACAGGTGCTGTGGCAGAGGGAAGCCCAGCAGCCTGTGGGAGCCCCAGGCGGCACCTCACTCAGCCTGGGGTGGGATGGGAGGGCTTCCTAGAGGAGGGGACATCGCGACTAAACAGAAGGAATCAGCCAAAGTGGGTGGTTGGGGGTGGGAGGTGTGAGTGTGTGTGCATGTCGAACGTGTGCGTGTAGCAGCTAGTGGGTGGCAGACCCAGGATTCACACCCAAATCTGTGCTATTCCACGTCTCACTCTTTGGACCGTGACACACCACACAGGCTAAAGATGACCCCTTCAGAGAGACCATCCACAAAGAGGCCCATGGACTCCCCACCCTAGGGCAGCACTCGCAGGACCCGGCCAGCCCCCCTGTCTCCTTTCCGTCCCGGTCCCGAGCAGGGGAGCCCCCGGCTCACACTCAGGGCATGAAGGGTCCTCTCTCCTCCCGGGCACGTGGAGGAGGGTGTGAGGTTGGCAGTGGCCCCTGAGGGAGTTCCACGGCCCCGTCCTGGTAAAGGCAGGCCTGGTGCTGACAGAGCCGCCATGGCGGCTGTGGGCGGTAGCACAGCCTGGGAAGGAGGCGGTGTTCTCTGCCCCTTGACCTCAGCCACCTGGGCCCGGGGACCTTGGCCCCTCAGCTGCAGCCCCGCCCTTTCCTTCCTCCCCGGTGACTGCAGAGAGATAAGGCCTGTCCAGAGGGCCCCATCCCAGGGTCAGAGGTGAGTGAGCAAGCATCAGCCTGGGCATCAAATCAGGCACCTCGGGGCCTGGAGCTGCCCCTGGCCCGGCTCTCCCGCTCCCCCATCTTGGGCAAGTCCGTTCACCTCCCCAGCCTCTTTCCCCTTCTAGTGCAGAGCTGCTTGGTAATTTATCACAGGGAAGCTGGGGTGGCACAAGCTCCATGCGGCCCCATCCTCAGACCCCCCAGGGGTCAGGGGCACATGTCACGGATGGCAGAGGGCCCCGGGCATACACAGCTCAGGTGAGGTCGGCACAGTCCTGCTCTGTCACCAGCCTCCATGGCCCCGTACACAAGGGAGGGCCCAGCCCAGACCTGGCCTGGGAGGGCGGGCACTGACACAGAGCACGCAGGGTCCCAGGGTCAAAGTGTCCTGGGGTCCCAGGGTCCCAGGCACTGGAGCCCCGCCTCACTGCTCCGAAGCCTCCTGTAATCAGCTGACCAGGCCTAGCGCCAGGCTCCTCCCTGTCCTGTGGGGCCCCAGCTCCTCCTGAGCAGCAGAGCATGTGGAGAGCCAACCACATAGAGCCCGGACAGCGCAGAGCCTGGACCACACAGAGCCCGGACCACCAAGAGCACGGATCACACGGAGCCCGGACCGCGCAGAGCCTGGACCACACAGAGCCTGGACTATAAGAGCCTGGACTACACAAAGCCTAGACTACGTAGAGCCTGGACCCTGCAGAGCCTGGACCCTGCAGAGCCTGGACCCTGCAGAGCCTGGACCACACAGAGCCTGGACCCTGCAGAGCCTGGACCACACAGAGCCTGGACCGAGCAGAGCCTGGACCACACAGAGCCTGGACCGAGCAGAGCCTGGACCCTGCAGAGCCTGGACTGCAGTGAGGCTCGTTTGCCATGGTCACCACTGCCCATGGCTGTCCCAGAACAGTCTGGCTCTGACACAGTAGGTGGCCACAGTGACCACTTTTGACCACCAGGTGTGGCCAGGCACAGCCAATGCCTCCCCAGATGGGGGGTGGGGGGTACAGACCCGGTGGGGTCTTCCAGGGCTGCCCCAGCTCCCAGATGTCATTCAGTGGGGAGGAGGAGGGGAGAACTCAGCCCCTGGGCTGGGGCACCCTCACCCCTCAGCCAGCACCGAGCAGGGACACTGTGCAGGTGCAGTGCTAGACGTGGGTGGGGTGATGGGGGGCATCTGCCTGTGCAGGGGTGCAACGGAGGAGACATCTCCAGGTCCACGTCTGTGTCCCCTGCAGGGCTGGGAGATGGATGGAAAAGAGGTCCCAGCTCCTGCCCCTCCAGATGCAGCAGGACAGCCACTCTGCTAGGTGGCCTGGAGTGGTGTTCCTGGGGCTTGTCACACGCCATCCTTGGCCCCACATTCCCTCTCTGTGAAGTGGGGTGATAACTACGTGCCCCACCCAGATGACATGAGGGCTAAAGGTGTCTCGGGATTCCAGGAAGAAAGAGCTCTGCACAGATTCGCAGGCTTCCTGGAAGAGGTGCCAGATCTGGGCTGCACTTTGCAACGTGGGTCTCTGGGGATAATGGTGACCCCTCCCCTGCCCCTTGGAATGTCTTTATCCCCCTCCCACGTTTTTGGTGGCTAAGTCTTGCTTGACTGTCAAGACTCAGCTTGGCAGTCACCTCCTCCGGGAGGCCCCCCGACTACACTCCCTTTTGTTTGTCATTTACCCAATGACTGCCATCATCTGTTCACATATCTGCCTCCCTCACTGACCGTGAGCTCTCGAGGGCAGGGCCTGGTCCACGGGGGAGCTCGGACAGTGTCTGCTGACCTCGCCTGCTCCTCACAGCCAGGCCTGGAGCCTGGGGGAGATCACTGGGGCCGACACTGGAGGAGCACGTGGACCCAGGCTCCGGGGTCTGGGTGCAGTCCCACCCCAAGGGTGAGGCAATGGCCCCCCACACCCCGAGCGCCCTGGTCCCCCACCTTCAGGTCGTAGAAGATGATGTCTCCAAGCACCAGGTACACCTTCACGTAGTATAGCGTCTCTTCGTCGAACTCCAGCGGCGAGGTGCAGAGTGACAGGGCCTTGAGGTAGAAGTGCTCAGCCAGCTCGCCGTGGCCCAGCCGGTGGTGCAGGGTGGCCAGCCGGTGGTAGGCCACTCGCTCGTTCAGCCGGTCCCCTGGGGACACGGGGCGGGGGGCATTGTGAGGACACAGCTGCGTGGGTGGCCGGGGCACAAGCCAGTCGGGAGCACCCATACCGACACCGTCTCAAGGCTCCAGCCACTCACTTCCCGGCTGGGACTCATTTCCCCATCTGTACAGTGACCTCATAGTGGCTGCTCCCCGGCCACCTGGGGGATACGGCAAAGTCGTGGATTTGGATGCCCCAGCTCTGTGCCTACACATAGCCGCCTGGACCAGAGGGGTACCTCTGGTTCCTGGTTTTGGCTAGGAGACCCCAAAAGTCACGCGGTCTGCGCACTCGCAGGCACCAGGGCTCAGGTCAAGCTGTGGACACCACATGTGACCCTCCCTGGTGCACCTTCAGCAGCCCCTCCACCCTACACTCGGCGAGTCGCCAGACTAGGCTGTCTCCAGGATCCTACCCCTACCAGGGCGGCAATGCGGGATCGGCACGTGAACCCTGCTGAGCACCTACTGTGTGCAGGGTCCTGGGCATGCAGCGCTGCCCGGCCCTCCCAGGGGATCCCTGTCTCTGGGGGAAGACGGACGGCCTGGAACAGCACAGTCAGGTGCTGGGACAGACGGGTGCCGGCGTTGAGGGACCGGCTTCTGGAAAGGGGACTGGGATTTCACCAGCCAGAGAACAGCAGGGGAGGCCGGGAGTGGGGAGGGGGTGACGGGAAGGGAGGGCCCGCAGAGGGGCCGGTGGCCCAGCCTGGCACATGCAGGGCCCAGCGAGAAGCCTGGAGTGTCCGGATGCAGGGAGCATTGCCCAGCCCTTGTGGTCGGCAAGGGAAAGAGGCAGAGGAAGCCACAGAGCTGGCAAAGAAAGTCCAGCCACGCAGCGAGCATGGCACTGCCCGAGAGACCCCCAACCGCCCCAGGGGCCGGGACGGGGCGGGCTCACTGCTGACCTCAGCCCGCCTGCACGGGAGGGGCAGCCTGCAGAGCGGGGGACCCGACAGCCGTCCTGGGCCGGCCTGCCTTTAGCCTTTTGCCCCTGCCCTCCAGATCTCTTGGTGGGCAGGGGTGCGGGGGGCTCACCCAGGGAGATGCTGAGCGCCAGGGCCACGTGGGCGAACTCCAGGCCCTCCCGAGGCTCCTCCAGCTCGGCCAGCAGCGCCACCAGCTTGTTGCACAGCCGCAGCTCTGCCTCCTGGTTCCCTGTGGTCACGGCCAGCGGCAGTGCCCGGTCCTGCCCACACAGGCAGCGGCTCAGGCCTGCTGCTGCAGGCGCCAGCCCGGGCCCGGTACCCTCCTCAGAGCCCTGAACTGTGTTGGGAGCTTCCTGCCTCCCGTCCCACTGGATCTTTACTCAGCCCTGTCCCCGATAGAAAGGTCAGCTCAGAGAGGTCGTGACACTTCCAGGGCCACTGGGTCGTGAGCAAGCTGGGGTGTGACCTGCAGCCTGTCTCTCTACATTGCATAACCTCAGACCAGCCCCTCCCCTCCGGGACAATGAGGGCCCGACCAGGAGGGTCAGCGCCCCTCAGTGCTCCCAAAATGCCCCAGGGCTGACAGAGGACGGGAGAAGCCGCCCTCCCTGGGGGGCACATCCTCCCGCTGACATGCTGTGTGTCCTCTGACACGCCCCTGTGCCTCTCTGAGCCTCGGTCTGCTCATCTGTAAAATGGGGACAGGACCCTCATCCCAGGGTTGTCTGAGATCATCGGATCCTGATCCTCTGTAAGTCTCAAGCTGCCTCTGGCCTCAGATGGTCCTTCCTGTCTCTGTCTCTTCCAGGTGGGGGTGTGGGAGTCAAGATCATCCACCCGGGAAACCACCAGGAAACTAGGTGTGTGTGTGGAGCGGTCCTGCCCCCGGGTGGGAGGCGTCTGCCCCACCATACCTGCTCCTCCACCATCTCGGGACACCCCCAGGCCCCCCCAGGCTCAACCCTCGGCGGCCGGCTCACCCGGTAGAAGGACACGGCTTTCTCCCGCTCCCAGCTCCCGTTGAAGAAGATGTCTCCGGCCGCCTCGAACAGCTCCAGCCCCAGGTTGGGGTCCCCCGTGTACAGGGCTGCGTTCTGTGCCACCTGGGGATGCAGAGACTCTCGTGAGACCCACAGTGCCCGCAGGGCGAGGTGGCCCTGCCCACCGGTGGGGACCTCCCAGCCAGCCCCCTCCACTCACAAAGCAACGGGGCTTCTCAATCTCTTCCAAATCACATCATGTTTGGGAAAGCGTTTTGATAAACGTGTTTTTAAGGAGACATGCCATATGCTGCTGAAGCAGGATCTTCTGTGTGTCAGCTGAGTGGGCACAACGTTGCACATTTATTGAGCACCTGCTGTGTACTAACACGGTGGTGCAGGGCACTGTGAGGGGCACACCCCTGGCCCCCGGGAGCTCAGATTGTTGTGGAAGGCGCTGTCTGGCGGGGGGTCCAGGGCAAGGGAGACACGGGCCCCTAGCAGGCAGCCGTGCTCCACGTGGTTTCGGGGTGGGTGAGGGAGCGAGTGCGCGCGCCCGTGTCCTGGCACCTGGATGTACAGGTCCACCAGCTCGTTCTGCTGGAGGATGTAGTAGATTTTCCCCGCCTGCAACCAGGCGCGCGCCTCCTCCTCCTTCTTCTGCAGGTCGATGAAGACCCCCAGGCTGCGCTTGGTGTAGTCGAGCGCGGATTTGTAGGCCCTGGAATAAGTGTGGATGGTCAGAACCACGCTCCCGGGCCGGCCGCCGCGTGCGGGCCGACCCGGCTCCTCCCACTGTGGGTCTGGTGACGGTGGCCCTGCGACACCGGGAGCGGGAGCAGACCCTGCCCATCCCAGGCTGACGAGCAGGGAGAGCAGGAGGCACACACAGCACGGCTTGTGCAGCAAAGATCAGGAGTCTCCTTGGAGGAAACGGCCATGTGGCCAGGAGGAGCGCACTATCCCGCCTCTGCCCGCCTCAGCTCGCCTGCCCACACACGGGCACACGGCCTCTCTAGACACAGGAGGAAACATCAGCACTGGGCAGAAATTCAGAGATTACCTAGGCCAGTGGTTCTCAGTCTCCAGCGTGCATCAGAATACCCAGAGGGCTGCTAGATGCAGATTGCTGGGCCCTGCTCCCAGGGTTTCTGACTCAGCAGGTGTGGGGTGGGGCCTGAGAATGTGCATTTCCAACACGCTCCCAGGTGTTGTGGAAGCTGCTGGTCCGGGGACCCCACTTTGAGAAGCATTGATCTAGGGCACTGGCCCATCTGTCCTGCTAAGAAACCGAGGCCCAAGGGTGAGGGGTGAAGGCCAAGACTGGCCATTTCCCAAGTCTTTGTGGAAATTGGGCTCCTCCCTCTCTCTCAAAGCATCCCTACATTGCAGGGAGGTGTTATTATTTTTCTGGGCCCCATGGGCTGCAGGGCCCAGCCATCTGTTACCCTACCTGCTGGGGATGCTCAGTGTGGGCTTCACAGGGAACACGGGACCCTGAAGCCCTGCCCCAGGGGAAGCAGGTGGGACAACCAGCTCTGTGTCCTGTGGACAGGGATGCTCGGGGCACACGTGGCCGCTGTCCTCACATCTGAGGGGACAGACGAGGACCTGATGGCCCTGGCCCAGAGCTGGGCCAGCGGGAAAAGACGCAGGGCATGCAGAGGTCAGCTTACAAAAGGCACCACGGCAGGAAGAACAGCCCAGAAATGCACGCTTAGCCTCCCCTGGGGATGAGACACCTGTCGGGGAGGCGTGTGAGTGGAGACTGGAGGACACGGGCCGTGGGACTCGCGTCATGCGCATCGGCTGGGATGACTCCCAGACCTGTCAGCTCAGAGCCTGTCTGGTGCTAAGGAAGGAAATGGTCTCCGAGGAGGGGCTTCCCCTGGACAGGGGCCCAGCACCCTGCGGAACTGGCCGTCACCGCTCGGTGCCCAGGGTCAGGGGCCCAGCACCCTCGCCACCCCTTCCAGCCCTGCGGAGCCAGCCCTCACCGCTCGGTGCCCAGGGTCAGGTAGAGCCGGCTGATGGTTTCCAGGAGCTGCCCTTCCAGTGCCTTGTTGGCCGCCCTGCGGGCCAGTGAGAGCTGGAACTCGAGGTAGACGACACGTTGGGCCTCATTGGGCATGACTGTACTGTAGAAGTGACACAGCCGCTGGACGGCAAGCAGCTGGCCTTGTGGGGGAGACAAAAGGAAGAAGTCACCATCACATCACAGTGACGTTTGCAGGGTTCAGAGGCCCCCGCTGTGTGCCTGCCTCTTCCACGCCTCTGTGAGCTGGGTCATCTTGGTGGGGAACTGAGCCCGACCTGCACACTGTGATGGGGCCAGGCGGGGCGCGTTGTAGATGCTTGAGAGATGACACCAATCATTTTTACATCCCCCAGGGCTGGAGGTCCTGGCCAAGCTCTCCCATCACACCAGGCTGCCTGTTTCTGTTTCACAAAGCTCCTCCCAGCCAACAGGGGCCGCCTTCACATTGGGCTGACGTGGCAGGGAACACTGGCATCCCCATGTTGCAGACAGGCAAACTGAGTCCTAAGCTGAGTACCGAGTCCAGAGCAGACAGCAAATCTGTTTCTGGCATTCCAGAGCCAACGCTCCCTCATGAAGCCCCGCTCCAAACCCACAGCCTTACTTGCCTCTCCTGAAACCAGGGGGCTGGGAGCGGTTGAGAGCTTTCACTGTTAAAAATGATCTGGAGATCAACAAGGGAAGAGAAGTTTGAACAACACCGTCAACGAACTGGACCTAACAGACGCTGCCCAACAACAGCAGAACACACGCTCTTCTCAAGCGCCCATGGAACATTCTCCAGGACAGACCAGAGGGTGGATCACAGAACAATTCTCATGAACGTAAAAGGATTGAAATCATACGAAGTGTGTTCTCCAGCTACCATGGAACGAAATCAGAAATCAATAACAGAAGGAAGTTTGGGAGATTCACAAATACGTGGAAATTAGCAACATACTTCTAACTAGCCAGTGGGCCAAAGAAGAAATCACAAAGGTAACTAGAAGATATTTTGAGATGAGTGGAAATAAAAGCAACACATTCCAAAACATACAGGACGCAGAGAAAGCAGCGCTTAGAGGGACTTTAGAGCTGTAAATGCCTACATTGAAAAAGAAGAAAAATTTCAAATCAAAAACTTAAACTTCCACCTTAACAAACTAAAAAAAGAGGAGTTAACTAGACCCAAAGCAAGCAAAAGGAAGGAATAATAAGGATTCAAACAGAAATGATAGAATAATAAAATAGAGAACAGAAAAACAATAGAGAAAAATCAATAAAACCGAATGATGGTTCTTTGAAAAAGATTAGCAAAATTGACCAAGAGAAAAAGAAAGATGCAGATTATTAAAATCATAAGTGAAAGAGAAGACATTAATATCCATCCTACAGAAATAAAAGGATTAGAGGAGAATGGTATGAATGATTATATGCCAATAAATTAGGTAACCTAGCTGAAATGGACAAATCCTAGAAAGACACAAACTACCCAGATGGACTGAAAAATGACCCAGAGCAGCGCAGGCGACTGTGGAGTGTCACCCCAGCCCTCAGTCAAATGGGGGAGAGGAGAACAGTGTGACCCCCTGGGTCCCCTAGCTTGCCATTCCCAAGTCTGAATCCCCCGGCACCCTGAGGGGCCTCACAGGAGATGTCTGAGAGGCCCAGAGGGGGCCACGTGCCGCTGGTGAGCACTGAGGCCACAGGGCAGGCCTGGGGACCTGGCTCTTGCTCTTCCTGGAGGTCTAGAGGGTCCACTTCCAGCCTCAGTGAGCGTTCTCCATCCCTCAACGGCTCCCCAATGCCCTCGGAAAAATGGCAACCCACAACCTGGGTTCCCTGGCCCTCGCCTACCCCCACAGCTGAAATTCTCACCACCCACCACCTGACCCACCTACTCCAAACTTAGCACCTCCGTGTGTGACCCAGCTCACTCATCCCAGGGCCTTTGCACGGGCTGCACCTTCACCCCATGCACAGCTAAACCCTCCTCAAACCTCAGGTCCCAGACTAAACAGACCTCCCTGACCCATAAGTTGGGGCCAGGAGCCGCCTGTCATCACGCTGAGCACCTCCTTTTGTGGCTCCTGTGACCTGGGCATCTGTTTCCCACCCTTGGCTGCCAGCCCCCAGCGAGGACCAGTTGGGTTCCGTTTGTGGGTGGAGCCCCGCCCAGAGCCTGGCGTACCCGCACAACAGGCTGCTGTGAATGGAGCTCACTGCTCTGCGGCCCCGGGGAACCACCCACCCCGGCACCCTCCGTGCAGCCTGGAGTGTCTGGTGTGCAGGAATGTGGGGAGATGCCACGGAGGTGGCAGCTAAAGTGACCAGTGGCCAGGGCCCACGAGGCCCCTCTCGGCTCAGCTGCCCCCAGCTGGCCTGGGCGACGTCCAGGGCGACCCACTGCCTGTTTGCCTGTGAGACTTTCTGTGCACAGATCAGGACATCCCAGGCAAAGCGGGACTAGTTGGTTGCCCCGGTTACGTCTGGCCCCGCGTGGGAGCACCCTCAGTGGTGCCTGCAAACATCTGCTGGTTTCCATTACTCAGCATTCTCCACGGTGGAAAACAACTGCTCGCCTCTGAATCGCAAACCCCAGGTGTCTCTGAGCAAAGACGGAAAGAAAACATGGTTTCCTTCCAGGAAGCCCGTGCGCCCGGGCATAGAGCCGGGAGGTGCAGGGCCGGAACTAGGCGTGACACTTACTCTCCAGGTGGTCCGTCTCCATGGCAACCAGAAAGGCCCACTCATAGTAGCACTTGCCCTGGCGGGCGAGGGCCCCGAGGGTGCACAGGTGGCCGAGCCGCAGGAGCACCCGGCTGAAGTCCCGGCCACACTCCCCGCAGGGCAGCTGCGAGAAGAGCTTCACGGCCTCTAGGAGGTAGTGCTGGGCCAGCCCCCGGGCGCCAGCGCGCAGGCACAGAGCCCCGAGGTTGGCCAGGACCACTGCCTGGTTCCGCAGCTGGCCCAGGGCCCGGGCCGCGCGCAGGGCCCGGTAGTAGCCCTCGGCCGCCTGCCGGGTCCTGCCCGTCCTCTTTAGGGCGATGGCCGCCATGTTGGTGATCACGCCCTGCTGGTCCTCGCTGGCCACTGCCGCGTCCAGGACAGACTCCAGGATGTCCAGGGCCACCGAGCTCTGCCCCTGAAGCACGTGCAACCAGGCGAGGGCCACCAGGCGGTCCACGACCAGGCAGCCGCCGGTCTCAGCGTCGGCTTCTGCCGCCTGCGTCATGAGGGAGATGGCCCTGACGTGCTGCCCGTGGTGGCTGTGCAGCTGGGCCAGGCTGGCACAGAGCGGGCCGCGCAGCACCCGCCCCGGGCCCGAGGCCCGGGAGGCCAGCGCCCGCCGGAGGTAGTGGGCGATCTGGGAGGGGAGGCGGGGGTGTTGGGGGGTGTTCCGCAGGACCAGGTCCACGCTCCTGAGCCAGCTGCCCAGCGAGCCCCGAGCTCGCAGCGAGGCCACCTTGACGCAGCTCAGCGCCAGGCGTGGCAGGCACTTCCGGCTGTAGACGTCCGCCAGGAGCAGGTAGCAGTCCGCGGGCCACGAGGCGTCCGGGGACCCCAAGGCCTCGTGCAAAAGCAGCAGCCTCTCCAGGAAGGGCAGGGCCTCCTCGGGCTGCTTGAGGCGGGCGTGATGCCTGGCCAGCAGGAAGCAGGCCCGGGCCTCGGCCTGCAGGCTCTGGCAGCGGATGGCCCTGCGCAGAGCGTGTCTCAGGAGCTCGGCCTCCGCCTCGGTGCTGCAGACGGGGCTGGGCGTCCCCAGGAGCAGGGCCGAAGCTTTGGGCACCAGCTGTGCGCACTTCTCCCTGTTCTTCTGCTTTAGGTGGACGGTGGCCAGGTTGGCGTACACGGCCACCACCAGGAAGAGGTCGCCGAAGCGGCCCCCCAGGGCCCCCAGGGCTTCCTCGAAGTACACCCGGGCCTGGGACAGCTTGACCTTCCGCACGCACAGCCGCCCCAGGAGGAAGCAGAGCCTGGCGAGGGCCATGGAGAGGCCAGCCTTCTTGGCTGCCCCCCGGGCCTGCGCCAGGAGCCCAGCCAGCACCTCCTCGTCGGTGCAGCCGCAGAACATGCTGCTCAGCCCCGGCAGGGAGAGGTCATACAGGCCACGGAAGCAGGCCTTGTGCTCAGGTGCGTCCAGGAACAGCAGCAGCGAGCCCAGGGCCTCCATGTCGGCCCAGTCCTCCCCGGCGTCCAGGTGGAAAGAGGGCTCCTCAGTGTCCGGCGAGCTCCTACCACAGGATGCCGTGTGGAGACCCCAGGACTCTGGCTCCTTGGGGCAGCCCTGGCAGGACTTGCATTGTTCTAAAACATTCTTCACCTTCTGCAGGGTCTCACGTGGCTCTGGGTTCAGGCAAGGCAGAGGCATTTCTGCAAGTCACCAAAACCCCCAGATGGATTAGAGTCTGACGTGAGTCCAGGCTCAGCCAGGGGCGGGGACGTCCCTCCCCGAGCACTGTGCAGATGTCACCTCCCCTACTGGCTGCCCTGAGCATCTGAGGTTTACATGGAATGCCAAGCGCCATGCTTGGCACGTGGGAACTTGGTCACTCTGGTTACAGGGAGAATACAGATCAGTCTGGCCAGCTAAACAAACACCCCCCTCTTCTTCTTCTTCCCCTTTGGAAGGCACAGTTCCAGGAGACCTTACGTGTCACAGCTCAGTGATCACTCTGGGCTGCCTTTCCCTTCAGAAAGAAGCAAAGCCTGCTAATGGGACGTGTCTACATTCGCTGCTACCACCGCCTCGTCTGACTGGGACAGCACCCGGGGCTCTCCAGCCAGGTGCGGGAATCCCACGACACCATCAACAGCCAGTCAGAGCTATTGATTAGCCTGAGCTCAAAAGCCCCCCACAGAATTGATCAAACCAGCCACGGCAGAGGAACGTGATGCTGTGTCCATCCACCTAGCTCTGGCCTGGGGACCATTCCCAACAGGAAAGACTGGGAATGGCTCCCAGACCCCCGGTCTCCACCCTCATCTTGGCTGGTTTGAGAATCTGAGGCCTGCGGTTACAAAAGTCTCAAAAAAACAGTGCTGGAGAGTCTGGGGGCACCCGTGCTGTCCATGATGGCCTGCTCCCCGACTGTTGGCTTTGGATGGAGTCCGTCCCAAAGGCACGTCCAGCATCGAGGAGCAAACAAGCTACATTTCCTTCTGGAAAAGCATGAGCCTAAAAGGAGTTTGTTTGGAAGGAAAGAAGCAGAGTCTGGAGTTTCTCCTGTTTCGAGCTCACATGTAAACATGTGCAGAGCTGTCTCCATTAGTCTGTAAAGGCTGGGAATTAAAAAATTAAACATGGTTTAGCAGCGAAGGTCCGACGTGACCTACGTCAGACCAGCTGAGAAGACGTCTCCTCCAGGCCGGGCTCCAGCTCTTACACTGGCCTCCTGACCCTGGAGGGGCCTGTGCTCCAGGAACTGGGCAGGATGTGAAATTCTCCGGGGGGCAAGCCTGCAGCGTCCTTCCCCGTCCCCACTTAGCAGAGGGTCGGGGAGGAGGAAGGGCCCTGAACAGCCCTGTGGGCCCCGAGGCGGGTTCCAGGCTTCCTCTCTCAGCCTCCTCACCCACCTCCCAAAGTGGCCCCTCCGTGTTTGTGCTTAGAGATCCCATTCCCAGGGAATCCCAAAGGGTCCCCGGGCATTCTCGTCCCCAGGATCTCCCCGATGCAGATCCTCTGCAGGGGGAAGGCAGAAGAGGAGTGAAGGCAGAAGGAGGGGGTCTCCCAGAACCAGCCCCCCAGGGGAAGGAGCACATCCTTGAGGGCTTCTCCAACGTAAGGCTCCAAATTCAGCAGCCCCCCCAGCACCCTCACCTCTCCAAAGCTGAGCATGGGGCGAAATTTCAGCTGCTTTAGGTTGTGTGAAATGAACCCAGGGCCAAGCATGGGCTCAGGCAATGGAGGGGATGCTCTACCCTAGCCGGGGACAGGGCAGGAGGGCCAGCATGGGCTCGGGCAATAGAGGGGACACTCTACCCTAGCTGGGGACAGTGCAG